TAGCTGTGTGTCCCTGCCTGTGTTCCTCTCTGAGCTGGAAACAAGTCCGATCAGACACCTCAATGCTCCTTTCAATCGAACAATCAGAGATGTCGTAGTTAACCTTCTCACCCCTCCCTCATCTGGCTCCCTCTGCCAGCCTGTTTTGAGGGTAATTCTGAAAATTAGGAACCAGAAAGGCTGCCTCCTCCTCCTCTTCCTTCTCCTTCCTCCTCCTCTGCCTCCTTCCTTCTCCTCCTTTTCTTTGTACTGGTACTTGAAGTCAAGACCTGGTACTAACCCTTAGCTTTTATGTTCAAGGCTGGTACTCTTAAAACTTGAACCATAGCTCTACTTCCAGCTTTTTGGTGGTTAGTTGGAGATAAGAGTCTCACAGACTTTTCTACCCAGGCTGATTTGAAACCATGATCCTCAGATATCGGCTTCCTGAGTAGCTAGGATTACAGGGATGAGCCACCCATGCTTGCTTGGCTAGTGTTGGTGTTGTTCTTTTTTATTTTTCTTTTGTGCCAGTAGTGGGGCTTGAACTCGGGGCCTGGGCTCTCTCTGAATTGTTTTGCTCAAAGCTAGTGTTCTACCACTGGCCTCACAGCACCATTTCTGTTTTTGTTTTGGGGTTTTTTGTTTTGTTTTGTTTTGCAGGAGGGGGGGGAGGCTTGGTGGTTAATTAAAGGTAAGAGCCACATGGACTTTTCCTATCTGAGCTGGCTTCAAATCAAGATCCTCAGATCTCAGCCTCTTAAATAACTAGGATTATAGATATGAGTCACCAGTGCCTGGCTAATGGTCTATATATTTTTTTAAATATCATCTCAGATAGGAAATGATGTGAGAACAGGAAAGCAGAAGATAGTATTTTAATTTTTAAAAACTGGTTATTTACTTTGAAACACGATCTTCATACATAGACCAGGCTGTCCTCAAACTCTATATATTCCTGCCTCAGCTTCTAGAAGGGCCATCACATCTGGTTTAGGAAATGATCTGTACTTTTTTTTTTTTTGGTCAGTCGTGGGGCTTGAACTCTGGGCCTGGGCGCTGTCCCTCAGCTCTTCAGCTCAAGGCGAGCGCTCTACCACTTGAGCTACAGTGCCACTTCCGGTTTTCTGGTGGTTTATTGGAGATAGGAGTCTCACGGTCTCTCCTGCCCAGGCTGGCTTTGAACCTGGATCCTCAGATCTCAGCCTCCTAAGTAGCTAGGATTACAGGCATGAGCCACCAGCGCCCGGCAATGATCTGTACTTCTAAAGGAAGATCACTGTCTGTAGATACAGGTACAAGGTATTGAAGAGTCAGAACAATGTTGCAATCATTCAGGGATACACTGTAGCATTATTCAGAGCAGATATTGTTGCATCCAGAAATACACTGTTACACTTAGGGTACATTGTCTCATTCATTCAGAGCATACATTATTGCATTTGAAGGTATAGTGTTACATCCAGGATATACTGTTGCATTCATTCCGTACACACATTACTGCATTCATTCAGAACATACATTGCTGAACTAATTCAAGTTAATACTAATTTTATGAGAAACAAGGTGTACATTGCTTTTTTTATACAGTTTCCAAAAGTCTTCTGAACAAAGAAATCTTACAAAGAAATAGAACAGGGAGAGAAAAATTAAGAACTGTGCCCAAGTTAAGCACAGTTAGAAAGTAGTTGAAATTCAAAATTATCCTGTCTTCCTCCAAGGCTGAACTGCCTCTCTGAGGTATTTCCCTACAGAAACTGAGGGTAGTATGTGACAGGAGATGGGAACCCCGGCCTAGCTGACCTCCTGGAAGAGGGTGGAAAGCTCAGCAGAGTCCTGAGGCTCTTCAGCTATGGCAACCTTTGCTATTGGGTTTTGGGTCCTTCAAAACTCCACCAGGTGTAGTGTGGTGCCAGTGGCTCATGTCTGTAATCCTAACTACTTTGGAGGCTAAAATAACATCTCAGTACAAAGCCAACCCAGTCCACGAGACTCTTATCTCCAATTAAACACACACACACACACACACACACACACACACACACATGCATATAGAAGCAGAGCTGTGACTCAAGTGGTAGAGCACCAGCCTTGAGCAAAAGAAAAGCTCAGGGACAGCACATGGGTTCAAGCTCCAGGACTGGCACAAAACAAAGCTAAACAAAACAAAGGAACTTTGACCAGGTGGAGGGACAGCCTGCATCCTGGGTACTGGCAGGCAGATGGGGTGAGACCTTTTCTTCACCTATCAGCAGCTAACAGGATACACCACATTCCCAGTTCTTGCCTCCTATACTGACCTCGTGGGAGGGCTGGGGACTGTCCTCACCTCATGTGTGGGAGAACAGGACCCACCCAGTCCTCTTCTGACCTCTGGGACCTGAGCAGCTGCTTTTTTTGGGAGGGTGGGGGTCCGGTTGTGGGGCCTGAACTCTGGGCCTAGGCACTGTTCCTCAGCTCTTGAGCTCAAGGCTAGCATTCTACCACTTGAGCCACAGCACCACTTCCGGCTTTCTTTTTGCTTATGTGGTGCTGGGGAATTGAACCCAGGGCCTCAGGCATGCAAGGCAAGTGCTCTACCACTGAGCCACCTTCCCAGCCCCCCCCCCTTTTTTTTTTTGTCGATCATGGGGCTTGAACTCTGGGCCTGGGCGCTGTTCCTCAGCTCTTCAGCTCAAGGCTAGTGCTCTACCGTAACTTGAGCCACAGCGCCACTTCCGGCTTTTTTCTTTTTTGCTTATGTGGTGCTGAGGAATAGAACCCAGGGCCTCAGGCATGCAAGGCAAGCGCTCTACCACTGAGCCACCTTCCCAGCCCTGAGCAGCCGCTTTCTTTACCATGAGAATGTCTTACTCCTTAGCCTCTCTTGCACATGGTCTCAGACACAGTCTAATAAAAGTTTTCCAGGCAAGACCTTGAAAGCCAGCTGGGACCTCTTACTGTCCATCCATAAAAAGAAGCAATACATTGCACAGCCAACTTGAGAAGCATCCTCGCAGGACAGGAAGGAGTATATCAAGACAACCTTGTTTTAATAGAAAAAGTAAATGAGACTGCACTTGGCTGGTCCTAACACAGAGAGAAGAATGATATAAACCCCGCTTTACTTTTTTTGTGGGAACAAATATTTACCAGGTTCCTGATGTGTTAGACACTGCGGCAGGCGCCTCCATTGCAAAAGCACTTATTCCTAACGGTGTTAGGCACAGAGGAAAGGAAGGCTCGGCAGAAATGAAGGGACTTGCTGAAACCCAAACTTGCCACCTCCTCCTCTTCCTCCTCCATGTGCTCATGACCGCGTGCCTTCCTCTTGTGAGGATGGAACACAGGTAGATTTAGAACCCCAGAGGGTGAGAAGATGTGGGCCGCGGTGCCTGGGTCCGCTGTGAGGTGGGCAGTGATGAACTTCCTTCCGCTGCCTCTCCTCCTCCAGTGTAGACTTTGCTCCCAGGCTCTCCGCTGGGCATCTCCTGCCATTACCTCCACAGCATTCTGCACTCTCTTGCTTGAGCGTGTGTGTCAGTACTGAGGCTGGAATTTGCAGCCTCACAGTCTTCCTTGGCTTTCTTTTTTCTTCTCAAGGCTAGTGCTCTAACACTTCAGCCACACTTCCACTTTGAGCATTTTGCTGGTTAACTGAAGAGTCTCTTGGATTTGTCTGCCTGGACCGGCTTCGAACCATGACCCTTAGATCTCAGCATCCTGAGTAGCTAGGATTGCAGGTACGACTCACCAGCACCTCCTTTCTTGGCTTCTGTTTCCCTCAGCTATGAAAAGGGATTCCTATTATTATTATTATTACATCCAGGCAGGGCCAGGCCAGTTAGAGAAGACTTGGGGCACTGGGGAGAGGGCTGGAGAGATTCCTCAGCTGACTAGCCCTGGAGGGCTTCATCCCTCCAGTTGCAGCCCTGCATCTCTCCAGTTGCAGCCCTGCTTCTCTGGCCTTTGTCCCAGCTCCCAATCTAGGCTGAAGGTGAGCATCCTTAGCCCACCCTCCAGGGACATCATAAGCCTAGGACCAGAGAGAGAGAGCAGGAGGATTTCTGGGAGGCCCAGGACAAAGTGTAGATGGGTGGAGACTTGAGTGTGACTCTCCCACCCCTGTGCTTTCCTCCCCCAGCAGCAGTCCTCACGTGTAGACCCAGCACTGGGGGTGCAGAGCCGGCATATGCGTGCTCCTCCACCTCTGCAGGGCATGTCTCCCGCTGAGGTCCCTGGAGTGGAAGGACTTCGATTCCCTCTGGTCCCTCTTCTTTCTCAAGGGATTGCCAGCAGGTTTTATCCAGGGCCACATGCAATGGCATTTGTTCCAATGCCTCTTAAGGCACCCTATTCCCCTGAGCTGGAGTCCCACTTCCCTGGCTTGGTGGCTAGCTGAGTTCTAGGGAGGCTATTGTCAAGATTGAGAGCAGAGAAAGATACACTGCCAAAGGCCAAGGGAAAGCCAGGCAGCTGACAGAAAGATGCCAAAACAGGCAATGAAATCAGACAAGCAGCAATCACACCAGTAGGCGACCATCTTAAAGACCCCACCTAGACTGCCCGGTGGTTGATATGGTGGTCTGGTAGCTTCGCCTTGACCCAACCGCACAACAGGGGGAAGAAAGGAATGAGGAAAGGACCGAAGGGAGAAGACAGAAGGGGCGGCAAGAAGAATGAAAAGAGCAGGGAGCTGGTAGGAGGAGACAGACAGGCGGACTGAGAAGAGAGGGACCGAGAAGGGGGAAGGCCTGGCGGCAGATTCTTGCCCAAGTGTTAGGGATTCTCTCCTACACAGAATCAATCCTGCATGGCGCGCCTCCCGCGGTGGCGCCGCCCCCGGAGCGCCCCCAAACCCCTGGCCGTCCCTCCGGAGCCAGAGCTGGGGCTCTGCCCTGCCAGCGCTCCTCTCCGGCCGAGCAGCCCCCGCGGCTCACCCCAAACGCGGGGAGGGAGAGAAGGAGGGCGGGCGCGGGAGGAGGGAGGGGAGAAGGAGGGGCTGCGGTAGGAAGCAGCCATGTGGTTCCAGCTCATTTTTTTCTCTTTCTCCACTCGTATTTCTTTCCAAACAGGGAAAAGTGTTCCACAAAGCGGTAGCGCCTTCAGCCTCGCCTTTTCCTCGTGGACCCGGACCCTGCTCCCGTCTGGGTGTGAGCCGGTGGGCTAGGCACTAGGAGCCCTCCGTGGCGCGGGGACCCCTGCACGGGGCGCGGGGGGCGCCCAGCGCGGAGCTGGCTCCCGCGCCCGCACATGGCTGCGGTCCCCAGCGCGCACCCCGAGGCACCGCGCCCAGCTCGCCAAAGGTCCGCCGGCGGCGCCGAACCGCCCCGCAGCCAGGCAGCGCGGAGCGGGGAAGTGCCCCGCGGCCGGGGACCAGCATGCCCTTCCTCCTCCTCTGGCTAGGTGAGTGCTCGGGGAAGGTGGGAGTTTGCACGGCCCCCGGCCAGCCCGCGGTCTAGCGTCCCGGGGAGGAGTGTCGCGGGGCCGATTGTCCCTGCCGCCCCGCAGGGTGCCAACCTCTCGGTCCCCGCCACCCAGCCTTGGAGAAGCGCATCTGAGAGCCGAGGACCGCCCAGTCGGCCATCAGCGATGTCTCACACATCTGGGCCCTGGAGCCGGCCAGGGGTGGGGGCGTTTCCCGGGCGAGTTTGGCAGGGACCTGCTTGGCCCTGGCGTGGAGGTGCGCGCCGGGCAGGGCTGGCTCCCGGGAGTGTGTGCGGTCAACTGGAGCGCTGGAGGAGGAAGGGCTCCTCCAGGAATTTCTGCCCAGGTTCCTGAGGGTGGGGAGCTTTTTGTTTCAAATGGGAGCCTCGGAACGGTCAGATTGGAAACAGATGTGTTGGAGGGGGGTGGAGGGGAGGTGGAGGGGGGTGGAGGGGGGGAGACAGGGCCGAGAGGGAAAGAAAGGGATAAAAGGGTAGAGCAAAAGGCGCCTGGGGAAGGCGCCCGGGCAGAAAGGGACATTGGGAAGGAAAGAACGGGAAAGAGAGGGAAGGAAAGAGAATGGAGGAGAATGGGAGGGAGTGTGGAGAGCCAAAGGAGGGAGGCTGAGAAAGAAAGGGTGAAGCCAACAGAACAAATGGAGCAGAGGAGGCTAAGAAACGGTACTGGAGTCCCTCCGGAGACGGAGGGGCCCCGCTGGCAGTCTCCTCCACCCCAAGCCTGCGTCTGAGGCCGCCAGCCCTAATGCACCAGCCGGGGCACCTGGGCTGGACACCGGCATGCTTATAGGAGAGTTAGAGCAGGGATGTGTGAGATCAGCAGAAAGAGGAGGGAGACAGAGAGTCTCTGAGGGGCCAGGGCAGGAAGGCAGGGGAAAGAGTTGAACAAGAGTTGCACCAGAACCATGGAACCAAGGGCGGTACCCACCTAGAAAGAGAAGGCGCAGTCATCTAGAGTTCAGAAGATGCCAGGGCTAGCCAGCTGTGGGGACAGTGAGCAGCACTACCCAGGACATGGGGCCACAGGAGAATTGGTTGTGGACTTGAAAGGACTAGGCAGGTAACCTGGGATGGCTTACTCACTGTCGAGGGCTTCATTCTGAGCTCTCAAGCAAGAAAACTAGATGGCTCTCGAGGCTCTTCTGTTCTTGTACCCCCACATACAGAGCTGGAGGGAGGCCGATGCCTCAAGTCTGTGAACAAAAGGAAATGGTTCTAAAGAGTGCCCTTTGGGGGTACTCTGAGAGCTCTGTCTTTTGGAAGCCTTACAAACCCACTAACACGCTTGTGTAGGGCCCCCTCTGGCTGGTAACCACCCAAGCTAGAAGAATAGAAGAGGTGGACTCACCTAAGTTATTGCTCAAGAGGAGGAGGCAGGGAGGGGGAGGGAGGGGGTGTTCTCTGAGCTCTTCAAGATACTGGCCAAGTATTGCAATACTTCTATGCACGTATGGCCTAGCTAGATGACACATGTGTTTTCCTTACAGGCCTCCTCTGCTAAGCTACCAATGACCAGATGTGCAGGAGAATCGAATTTCACACTGGCCTATTCAAAACAGCCTCTATAAAATCCTTAACATACTGAGCATTTTGTGTATGGTACTTTGCTAGTGCCTTTATTTCACACCAACCCGGCTCACTACCTGTTATGAGGAGCCTCACTTACAGATGAGAAACTCGGGGTGGACAGAGGTCAGATAACTTGCTCAAGGCCATAGCTTACAAGCAGCAGGGATGGGATCTGAGTGTAGGTTGAGTAGTGCTCTCAGTGAAAGGTGAAAAGTGGTTCCGGTCTCCATAGTCAGTTGAAATCAGTTTTGGCCCTAGATGTGAGCATCGGTGGTCATCTAATGGAGCGATGGATTAAAAGGTCATGGATTCATTGTTTTTCTTTGTTGAGTGCCTACTATGTGTAGTCATTCTTTTGGTGAGAACATAATTTGCGAGGTGGAATCTTGTAGAATATCATAAGAGCTACTCCCTTGATTTCTTCCTGGGTCTCTTTATAAATACTCAGATGGCCTGGGATTCTGTATAATTGGCTTCTCATCTCTCATACACATCTAGTCCTCTATTGAGCATTCTCAGACATGTGACATCCCAGCTCTACATTGATTAAACTATACAAGTAAGAGAGCATCAGAGGGAATCAAGACTAAGGAAACTCCTCTCCAAATGACATCCTGCAAGGGTCAGGAGCCCACCAGGAGAAGAATGCTGCAGGCTACGCCAAGCCCCTATTTACAAAGTGCTTTTGAGCTATAGTGTACTTTGGGCTGCCTTAGCAAAGCCACTTGTGGCAAATGATTATAAACCCAGAAAAGCCAACCCACTAATATGAAGAAAGCATTGCTACTCCATCCTGTGGTTCTCTGGGCCAAGGAATATCATTAAGATGCAGCAAATGATGAGAGCTCCCTGTCCAGGAAGTTCAGTATCCGAAATTCTTACCCCAAGATTTATACAAAGTGTACAAATGGATCCTAAAATCATATACTGTCCTTTAAAGGGGGGCAGGGGTTCTTGATCTGCATCTAATTCTGATTGAACAGGGTGGGAGGAGGCTTGGTAGGGCCAAGAGGGTTCCTAGTATGAACAAAGATGGCCAGCTTCTGCACCTGCCAACAAGTGACATGAATGCCTACCTGGTATGAGGGAGGATAAAGGGGAGCCAGCCCCTCCTTTGACCATTTCCCTGCTCCTGTCTTTGCTGTTTAGTTTCTCATTCTTCCACCATAGCATCTCCTGGACTTTGTAATAGCTGCTGTATTCATGACTTGCCTGACCTCTAGTCTCTGTCCTCCACATTGCTTTCTGATGGGACAACTAGAAAAATGCGAGGAGCCTGGGCTTGGGATTTTACATGCAAGACCTCTGGGTTGTGGTTCTGCATGTCTGTAAAATGGAGGTCAGGATGGGTGCATCTTGAATTCAAGGCTTCTGTAATTTTATGGTCTTTCCCAACTCTTCCAAAAATGTTTGGTAATCCCTATTGCTAAACTCTTCATTCTGAGATGGAGGAGCTTGGTTTCCCAGAATACGATCTTGTGAAGGTTTGCTGCAGAAGTCTATTTGTTCTGCAGGATAATGACAGATGGCAGTAGCCTCCCATGTCTTCCCTCATCAGCCCACCTTGACGATATGGTCATGATAATGATAGTACTGGCAAGCTCATGCCTCTTCTCATCCTAGTCCTGTTTTGTGCTGAGCTGGGCATTGTACATACCAGTGTAATTTCATGAATGTAGCTAATGATAATGAACTAGACACACTTTTTAGAGCTAAAGATAGTCAGAACTAGGGAAAAGCTAAGAGTCTACCTAAATCACTGTTCGTTAGCATTTTGAGTTTCATATCTCCCCCTTTCCCCCAGAGAATCTGATGACAATTACAAAACCACTTCTTGGAAGACACACATGCATCTCAGATTCTGTTAGTCATTTCTAGGGGCTCGTTGACCTGGTACTCTTCCTTGGAACTCAAGGCCATCCTTGATCTAAATCTACCTCTTCTTTTTAAGATCCTTAACTTAATTTTGCATTTCTATTATTATATTTCTATTATATATTAATTGTGGAGGTTTCATTGTGATATTTCTATTATTACATTTCTATTATATATTAATTATATTGAGGTTTCATTGTGATACTTCCATACATGTATATAATGTGCTGTGATCATAATTGTCCCCTCTATACTCTTATTCTCCCTGCTACCACCCCTCCTCTACATTTTTTGTTGTTGCAATTTTAATCTACTCATTCTTTTAAGAAGAAGAGAAAACAAAACTGAGAGTCTTGGCTAAGACTATACCATACAGTTTAATAGAAGGACCAAGACTAGGACCCTAACTTCATGCTGTATCCTGTCATACATTCTTAAAATAGAAAAATATCTTTCCTTCCCTCCTTTTCAGCTCATGTAGTTAAGCTTTACAGTCATAGTTGCCTTCCAATGCTTCAGTTAAATGAGCTAAATGCTGAATAATTGGCATGGTTTTTATGTTGGGAAATTGCTTGAAAAATAGGGCAAATGTCGTAACATTTCAATTTAGCCATCATAACTGGAAATCCCGGAGACATTCTAAAGTGTCATGTTTGATGGCTGATGTATTAAGAGAAAAGGAATCTATGCTCCAAAGAAGTAGTTGTGTGCATACAAGGAACAACCTAGAAATGGATGGTTCTAATCCCTTCATAAATTTTGCCATGTTATTCCAGGCAAATCATACCACTCTGACCCTTTGTAAAATGAGATATAATACTGAGGTTGTTGCTGTGTTTTCTTATATTGCTAACATACTCTAAGGTTTTTTAGGGGGTAGGGGATGGTTGTGGGGTTTGAACTACCCTGAGTTCTTTTTCTCAGAGTAGTGTTCTACCACTTTGAGTCACAGCACCACTTCCAAGTTTTTAAGTGGCTAATTGGAGATAAGCGTTTCATGGGAATTTTCTGCCTTGGCTGGCTTTGAATCATGATCTTCAGATCTCAGCCTCCCGAGTAGCTAGGATTACAAGCATGAGCCACCAGCTTTTCTGAAATTTTGGATTCTAAGAATTTGCTAGCTGGTGAAGATACAGTTGTAATCAGGAACACTAATTATTAATATAGCAAGCCTTATTAATGTTTTCAGGTACTGTTCGTTTGTGGCATATGATTATAAACCCAGAAAACCCAAGCCACTAATATGGAGAGCATTGCTACTCCATCCTGGAGGTGTCTTGTGGTTCTGTGGGCCAAGGAACATCACTAAAATGTAGGAAATGATGACAGCTCCCTGTCCAGGAAGTTCAGTGACTGAAATTCTTACCCCAAAGATGTCATACCAAACAGTTAACTGTAAAAGAACCCCAGAAGCCAAGTGTGCTGGGGTTTGTTTGTAATTCCAGCATTGGGGTGGGCAGGCAGGAGTACTGTGAGTTCCAGGTTGGCCTGGGCTGCACAGCAAGGCTTGGACTCCAA